GGGGCTAGAAAATTTTTCTATTTCCATAAGTTAAGATTTTGGGTGTCGCTGAATACGAATCCGCAGTCATATTATAAAATTTACAATAGCGAATCCAATATGACGGTCAAACTTCAAATAATGCAAATTCTATTATTTTCATATTTTATCTATAACCATATTGGCTCAATAGCCTTGAACTTTAAGTAAAGATTGATAATTTGTAATCAGACACCCAATAGACCAATGTCTACCCATTGATGTCCAAAAAAATCTTCCAACTTGAATGTTGCGAAATGCACTGGCCATATTCCACTCGCTATATTAAATTCGATATCCCGAATCCTACTTTAATAATTGAAAATTCCATGATTAGCGACCCAAAAAACTACGGTTTGGTGAGTCTTGTGCAAAAAATGTGCATTATTTGAAAATTGGCTGAGTTTGGCCGGCATATTGGATTCGCTGTTGTTTTATAATTATGATTGCGGATTCGTATTCAGCGACTATCAAAGCATTAATTTATAGAAATAGAAAAGTTTTTTAGTTCCTTGTGCTTTAGTAATTAAAGTTTATTCCAAAAATTTTTTGACGATAATCTATTTTAGTCGCAATTTTGAATCCGTCATCTTGAATTTTTAAAAAAGCCATACAGCATTAAAAAATAGACATTTCAACGAAAATTTTAAAACTTTTTGAAGTATTTTATTTCAAAAATTGAAGTGGGCAGGAGAGGTGGCCCGCTTGACAGAGAATGCCCCATATATACATGTATATTTATGAGTCATGCAATGATTAAGTAATATAATTGGTTTATTTTATTATTATATAATGATAATGCTTTTATTTTAAACAATAATTTATATTGTTTATCTTTTAAAGTTTTTTTTTATATGCTATATATTTTACTAATATTTGCTATATTTTTTTTTGTTAATTTCTGTGCAAAAAATACAGTAACATATTATCGATTTAATTAAAATAAATTAATTTCAGCATATATCAAGATACCAATTGGCAAATAATTTTGCATCTAAAATTTTCAAGTGATTTCATCTTATTATTTGTTGTCATCAAGTTATTTAATCTGTTATGCATTCTTTGCATGGAGATAATTATCAGTATCAAAAAATGTAAACGTTGCAACTTGTACAGTGTAATTTTTTTTAGATCTTACCAGTATTACGGTCATTTTGTATTTATGCTGCAGTAGCAATATTTGTGACACTTTTATTTCAAATTACATTTTTTACTGCCTGCTTTGCTTTGGATGCTAAAAGAATAGAACAAAAGAGAAATGGGACATTACCGTGTATCGTGCATGAAAATTTTACGTCCAAATCATCAGACGTAAGCAGTACATTCTCTTGGAAATTGATAAACTTCTTGTATTCACGGATACTGTTGACTACTCCGGGAAAAATTATTATTGTATTAATTACTCTTCTAATGATGTCCACAAGTATTGTGGGTTTACTTCAGCTACAACAATGGTTTGATCCAAAGTGGTTATTACCGAAAGATTCGTATTTGTACCAATATACAGCTGTCCGAGACGAAGCATTTCCCAATCAAGGATATGAAGCCTTCGTTATTATGGGAGATGATATTGATTATTCTTTTGAATTTTCTAAGATAATATCTATGACCGAACGCTTACAGAATGCGTCTTTTGTACAAAGTCTAGAACCTTGGCCGATTGACTTCGCAAAATTTGTGTCGATGTATTATGCTACAGGTTATTTATCATAATCTTTATTTGAATCGTTTGTCTTTGATTGATTTCTTGATGAATTGTATTTTAATATTTTTATGCACATAAAATAAATCGATTTGTGTAACAAAAACACTCACTTGCTTTTAAAAAAATATGTAATTCTATAAAAGTGGTAAAACAACAAATTTTAATTTATTTCTGAAAAAAGATGTATATTTATGAAATTTTTAATTAATTTATACCCAAAGTTTATTTCAATTCATAGAACAAATTTTATGCAAAGCTTCTAACACAAACAGATTATTCGGCGATTAATTAAATAATTTCTCAAATTAATTGAATGTTTTTCTTTTATTAGATTTAAGGACTACAAAGATCTCAGACAACAAATTCCATCGTTATCTGTCGCAATTTCTATTTAGTCGAGATGGTGCCAAATATCAGAGAAATTTCTTTTTTAAAACGAAATTGAGGTGTGGTAGGAATACCCCTCAAATCGCAGTAGCAAGCATTGAATTCAACTTTAAACGATTAGAGAGACCTTACGAGTGTGTTTCAGCGATGGATAATAGTATATTCTTAACGAATGAAGCGCAAATTCATGGATATGTTACTGTGTGGTGCAAAATGTTCGCATATTGGCTTTCCGATAAACTAATAGGTAAAGAACTAATGCGAAACATCATACTGGCATTAATTTGCGTTATGGGTACCACAGCAATCCTCATCGCCGAAATGCAGACTTGTTTTTGGATCTTACTCTGTGTACTTCTCACACTGCTGAACATTTCCGGATTTATGTATTTCTGGGGACAAACAATAAACATTGTGTCCAGCATTGGTAAGTGTGTTTCGTGTTTTTCGTTTATTTTGTAATTCATAGTTTTGTTATTTTGTTTGTGTAAAATATAAAATTTATCTCTAATATATACCTACATATACAATTGGGATGATCGAAATATACAATAAAATTTGAAATAATAAGCTCATTACATTAAAAGACAAATTACAATTAATCCTCTTCAAAATACTCCCCCTCGCTTGTAATATATTTATCCCGTCATTTTTGCCACTTGCTAAAGCAGTACTGAAAGTCCTCTTTCATAAGTGCCTTTAATTGCGTTGCCTCGATGTCTTGAATTAATTCAAAATGTTTACCTTTCATCATGGTCATTTTGATTTGGAGGAAAAGCCAGAAGTTGCACGATGCCAAATCCGGTGAATACGGTGGATGAGGGCTGGACACCGTAATGTTTTTATTTAATAAAAATTGCCGTATCAGAAAGATGTGTGATGACGCGTCCCGTTTGAGCACGTTACGATTGACCACACAGCCACTCACAGCGGCCTAGAGATTTTCCACTACTGTTCAAACGCTGTGAGTGGCTGGTGGTCAATTACAACGTGGTCAATCGAATGCCACCCATATGTGACATGGAGCGTTGTCATGGAGCATGAAACCGTTTGCCCATTTCTCAGGTTTTCTATGCACATTCTTCGTTTTTTAAACACTTATAGCTCTAATAAGCCTTTATAATATTCAGAGTTCACTGTAAATGTTTTAAATCAATTCAAGATATCGAGGCAAGCATGCAATAGTCCAACAAAGCTCTTATGAAAGAACTTATGAACTTCCAGTACTGCTTTAGCAACTCTCTAAATTTTATGAAATGATTCACTCCAAAAGAGTGAAAATTCTCTCCAAAGAAGTGAAAGTTTATTCCAGAAAATTTAGAGAAAAAAGTGCAGATCAGAACAATTGGATAAGTGTATTAGAAATGAAGAGGAGTATTTTGAAGGGGACTAATTTCACCGTATTTTTTTATCACACTTTGTATGTATATACGTATACTGCATATAAAAGTATTAAGCTATAGTTATTGAAAAATTAATACTTTACGAGATATTTTATATTTTATTATTCCACATTTCAACATAAAATATGAAATATCTCGTAAATTATTAAATAAATTTCTTGATAATTGTATCTTAATATTTTTACGTACAAAATAACGATTGGAGTACGTAGTTCTCATATTACAAATTACATATTTTTAAAAGTAACTGAATGTTTTTTTTACACTAATCGATTCATCTCATTATTTTGTGCATAAAAGAATTAAAGTACCATTACCAAGAAATCAATACTTTTTACTTATTTGATATTTCATATTTTAAGTTGAAATATGGCATAATAAAAAATATAAAATATCTCGCAAAGTATTAATTTTTTTAACAACTACATCTTAATATTTTTATACGCGGTATAATTAAAGAAGTAGTATAATTAAAGAAATATTAGGCACAAAAAATTATATATTTTTATTTTAAAAAAGCAATAACCTTTATATGACTTCAAAAAATTAATTTTTTTGAAAATTACTTTTATTAATATTTATTTCTCTTCAAATTGTACCTACAAATTTTGTCTGAAATAATTTTTCGTGTCTTCTATATTTTTCGAGATATGTATATTTTTTATTATAAATATAATTACTCTGTATAACATATAAGAGAGGACGGGACTATTCGGAACCTGGGGCAACTCGGAATCCTCGCTATATCTAGATTAGAATAGTGCATTACCGAATGTAAACGTCATATAACCATAAATCAAGGCTAAAAAAGCGCAACCTATAGATAAAATCCAGTTTGATATTCGGTAATGCAGTATTCGAGATATTGCGAGAATTCCGAGTTGCCTCGTCCTCTCATACATATAAATAGGCCGAAAAAAATTTGATAAAATGGAAAGAAAAAGAATTTTTTAATATAATTCTGACTTTTAATATAAATCGTAATATTGTTCCAATTTTATAAAATTAAGTAAATCGTTTATTATGGAAAATGTTTTTATCATTGAATATATAAGAATTGTTAAAATGTTTTTATTATTGAATATATAAGAATTGAATGTAAAAAGATATTTATATTATAAAATCATAAACTCGTATGCAAAGTACAAATCAGAAAACAAATTCTTATTTTTATTTCTCATCTTAACATTCTTCATAAATCTAAAAAAATCTAAATATTTCATTTTAACATATTTTTGACTATAATTAATAATTAAATATACAATACTTACAAGTATTGTCAATTAAGAATATAATCAAATATACAATATACTTACAAGTTGTTCTTGTTTTCTTTTAATATTGTTTAAAGCAAACTTTACATTAATCAGACAGTTTCATTCAAATTAAAAAAATAATTCTTTACAGGTCTTCAGTTAGCCATTGGTTTAAGTGTGGATTATGCCGCACACGTCGCACATGCTTTCCTCAAGGCCGAATCACGAGAGGATGACGACAATCCTCGCAGGACTCGAGCATTGATTGCAGTCAGACATATCGGCGCAGCGGTTATACATGGTGCGAGTACAACCCTTATCGCCATTTTAATGATATCCTTCTCGTCGTCCTTCGTGTACATCGTCTATTTTCGCATATTCTTCATGGTAATGTTGTTTGGGATCTGGAATGGATTGATCGTACTGCCGGTCGTGTTGAGCAGTATTGGACCGCAAAGTTTACGTATAACACCACCATCACAACCAATGTCCGAGAAGTTCATTGCTGCAATTAATGATGAAAATTGAAAAGGAAATATAAACAGTTTGTTCAGAAAATTTACCTTCATTTATTTTTAATTCAATAAATATATACTTACAAAATTATTACATAATCCATACTAATCATACATTTTTATGTAAAAACAATAATAATAATAATAAACAATATTAATAATAATAAAAATTTGTGATAAAAATGGCATTATTTATAGATATTTTCATGTATGTATTTATTAATATTAAAATAATTAATTAATGCAAAAAAAATTCATAGTTGTTTAAAAAAAATGCAATTTTTATATATTTGTTTTACAATAAGTAACTCTGTATTTTCTTTATACCAATATATTCATCTTATTATTCTGTGCAAAAAGTATTAATTGAGGTATAATTGTTCAGAAGTTAATAGTTTACAAGATATTTCATATTCTTTGTTGAAATATGGCATGATAAAGTATTAAATATTTCGTGAAGTATTGAATTTTCGATAACTTTACCTTAACACTTTTATATGTAGAATAATGTAATATAATTATATGTAGAAGAATCATTATTTAAAAAGGAAATTGTGTCAAACCATTTAAAAAAAAGTGGAGTAACTTCCATGTGACCTTTAAAAATTGATTTTTTTGGAAAACTTATTTTATCATTTTTTGTTCCTCTTCATATCTTAAAACTTTTGAAACATTTTTTTCGTATCTTGCGTATTTTTCGAGATATTTGCCTAAAGAAATTAAAATAGATTATCCTGTGTGTTTGTGTGTATATATATATATATA